TTTCCCCTCGGCTCAGTCGGAGGGTGCTTTTGTGGGTGCCGGGGAGCCTTGGGTGCCACAGCCTCCCTGCTGAGCTGCCTCTGTCCCCCCAGGGCGTGTGGTGGACATCTACTCCAAGTTTGATGTTATCGTGAGTGACTGAGGGTGGCGGGCTGGGAGGCAGGGAAGGGGATGGGGGTGTTGAAAGTGGAGAGGGAGAAGGGGGTCTCTTTTAAGGATCTCAGAAGCTTCCAAGCACTCCAGTCCTATTTGAAAAGAAACTGAACAAGTCGGGTGTGGCTGGTGGGCATGGCCATTGATTGCCCTAAACCTTGCCAGTAAGGTTGGGTGGGCTCAGGGTCTGGCACCTGGTTCCCTAGCTTTTCCGCAAGCTCATCCTCTCTCACTGCAGAATCTGGCCGCAGAAAAGACCTACAATAACCTGGACGTGTCTGTGACCAAAGCCCTGCAGCACCGGTCACACTACTTCGAGGGCGTCCTCAAGTGCTACCTGCACGAGACCCTGGAGACCATCATTAACAGGCTGGTGGAGGCAGAGGTAGGATCGGGTGAGCCCCAGGCTGGGCTGAGAAACCGCCCACGAGCCTTCTGGCCAGGAGGGTGGGGCCAAGGGCCCCCGCTGAACCTGCTGTTTCTCCCGTGTTGCTCTGTGCCAGGTTCACCGGCTTGTCGTGGTGGATGAGAGCAATGTGGTCAAAGGCATTGTGTCGCTGTCAGACATCCTGCAGGCCCTGGTGCTCACGGGAGGAGAGAAGCCCTGAGCTGCAAGACGGGGCCAGGCAGTGCCCTGGGGGAGGTGGGGGGCCCCGGGAGTCAGACGGAGCCTTGGGAGATGACTGTGCGCTACTCAGGAGCCCCCTGCCCTTCTCCCCAGGAGCTGGGGAAGGCACAGAAGGAAGAAGGAAGAAGAAGGGGGTCTTTAGCTGCCTTACCCTCACACATACACGAGAACAACTTCCGGCCCGGCTCTGTGCCCCTCCAGTAGATTCCGATCTCCACGAGATCCCCAGACCTCACCGGCCTGTGCCTCCATTCCTGCCCTGACTGCCATAAGGTGGCACAACAGAGCTCTTCATGAAGATACTGTTGTTCATACAGGAGGCAGCGTCCACTTAGTCATGTAAGCGAGGAGGGCCTCGGGGTCCCCGGGCGCGTTCAAGGACATGGGTAGGCTGGAGAGGAGGGCAGGTTGGTTGGCCAAGGTTATTGCTTTTCGTGGCAAATCTAATTAAATGACATGAATCTCTTCCTGGTGTGGTGGTGTTTGATTTTGGTAGTTGGTAAACACTGCTGCTCTGACTTTCCCACTTAGTATGATTATTTCACTCATTGTTAATGACAACACTAACAGCATACACACTAACACACACACACACACACACACACACCTGTGCCAGGTATCACCCACAGTGCTTTATCTGTACACATTGCATATCCCTTATCTGAAATGCTTGGAACCAGAAGTGTTTTGGAGTGTGTGTGTGTGTGTGTGTGTGTGTGTGTAGTAATTTGAAGTTTTTGCATAGAAATGAGATATCTTGGAGATGGGACCCAAGTCTAAACACAAAATTCATTTATTTGGGGATTTTGTAACTGATTCACAAACCTGAAGGTAATTTTTTACAGTATTTTTGATAGTTTTGTGCACGGAATGAAGTTTGTGCACTGCGGCTGAAGCCCCTGGGAGGGTCTTTTTTCCTCTTGGGATGCTGGGCAGAAGTGTGTGCCTGCATTTCCACTGTGGCCTGTCATATGAGGTCATCCTGTCAAGCACTCTGTAAATTTTGGGTTTTGGAACATTTTGGACTAGGCATACTCAACTTGCAGGAACTCATTTAATCCTCAGAGCAATAGTAGATACTGTTACTACTCCTGTTTGACAGATTTCTAAAAACTGAGACACGCAGAAGCTGAATACCTAAGCAAGGCTACACAGTTAGAAAAAAGCAAATCTAGGATTTAAACAGGGCCAGCGTTGTGGCATCCCATATGGACACTAGTTCGTGTCCTGGCTGCTCCACTTCCGATCCAGCTCCCTGCAAATGCACCCGAGAAAGCAGAAGGTGGCCTGAGTGCTTGGGCCCCTGCCACCCAACGTGGGAGACCCAGATGAAGCTCCTGGCTCCTGGCTTCAGACTAGCCCAGCTCTGGCTGTTGCAGCCATTTGGAGAGTAAACCAGCGGATGGAAAATCTCTGTATCTATCTGTGTCACTCCCTGTCTCTCTCTCTCTTTTTTCAAATTAATTAAAAAAAAAAAAAATAAACCCAGTCTGGCTGCAGAGTTCATTGCCTCTCAATTGTCATTTTGCCTTGTTCCCCACCCTGTCCCCTATCATTCCCTTATTATCTTTTCCCTCCACTTGGACCATAGCTGGAACCCAAGGAAAGTCCTCTAACAGTGTTAAGTCTCCAGAGAGTTAAGCATACTGGGGTGGGGGTGGGGGGGTCTCCTTTGGGCAGAGAGGTCTGCCTCCATCATGAGCTTCTCTGAGAGAAGTTGGACAGTGTTGGGATTTCGCTACACTGGTGCTATATTGGAACCCACAAATCTCTTGCCTTGTATCCCAGGCAAGAATGAACTAGGGATGGGGAGAGGGGTGGGAGAATGAGGAGCAGCAGGACCATAGTCACCCGTGAAACCCATTCCCTGTGCTGAACCCACGTGGCCCACGACAGTGGTCAGCGCCAGACTGAAAGACGGCTGGACCACAGGCCGTGAGCCAAACACCCTGATTGCCTTTTTGCTGCTGCATTGTGGATCTGGTACAATTTCCCATCCACACCAGGAACAGTCCCAGGGCAACTCCTTGCCCCCACACCCACTGTGCCTGAGTCTGCTGATGTGACCCAGGGAAAAGCATCAAGGCCCTATCGGCTATGGAGAAGCCCTGTTTGTGTGTTGAAGTCTCCATGGCTGTCACTGCACATTCCCAAGCTTGGGGGAGGGAGGCTTCCAGGTTATTAGAGAATGTTTATGTGTGGGGGAGGGTTACAATGGAAAGGACAGATGTCTCGTGTCACATTCCCTTGGGGAAGAGAATTGGTCTAGGGAGGAGGCAAGGGCTTTAAAAGAGCCTGCAAGTGGGGCCTGGAGTGGAAGGAAGCACTTTCAAGCAAAGCAAAGGCCTCAAAGCAGGTGGCAGGTGCGTGGAATCAAGGGGGGTGGGTGGTGGTGAAGTAGTGGGACAGGATGTTTGGGGTCTCTCCAAAGGTCCATGCTGGGGAGCAGGGTGCCTGGGTTTTGTTGTGTTTCTCAGGGAGTCCACCCTGCCCCACAGCCACCCTTCCAGACTCTTAAAAGGAAGGGTCTGTACCCAAAGGACTCTGTGTGCTTCAGTGGAGAGCACACTGGGCTCTCTCGCTTCCCCTGAAAACCCAACCAGTCAGCCTCACTCAAAGTCTGAGGACAGAGCTGCGTCATGGACGAGGGATGAAATCTGGGTGCATCCCAGGCTTCTGTTCTCAACCTGTTCCTCTCGGGAGAGGCGAACTGTCCCGTCCTCCCGAGGAACCATTGCCACACACATTCTTTCCCCTCCCTGCACCCCTCCTGGAGTTGCTGCCATGGTTGCCAGGCATGGTTGCTAAGTCTGCATGGAAGGGTTGGCGTGGGCTGTGCTGCCACTAACATCACCATGGTGAATCAGGGGACACCTGGTATAGACTTAAGTGGGGGGAGGGACCACGTGGATGCTAGCAATAGCCCCCTAGGACAGAATAAGCCCCCAAGGTGAGCCTTTAGAGTGCTGCTTCTAGTGGGGCTCAGTGAACTGGGCATTGAGGTGGGGGAGGGGGGCTCTGCCTTGGGAAACCAACTGCTTTTAGTTCAGTTGCTAAGGGGTTAGCTTTGCCAAGGGAGCACAAAATTTCTCCTCCATCCCCTCTGAGAGGGTGAAAGTACATGAGCCTATTCTGCATCCCTCTCCCTTAAGGCTGGGCAGAGCTGTGTGAGCACAGAACAGTATAATCCCCAAGTCTTGGCCCCCTGGCTTGGATGGGGGGAGGGCTCCATGGGTGCCCAAGGACAAGTATCTGGAACGGGGGTGGTGGAGCAGCTCGGTTGGCCAAGACAGACTCCCTGCATCCTATTCCTCAGTAGCTCTGGGCTGGCAACACTAAAAAGGTGAGGCATTGAGGGTTGTAGAGGTCACTTTTTTTTTTTTTTTGAGACGGGTGGGGGTTGGAGGGAGGCAGCTCTCCCCCAGAGCCACACAAAAGCTTCCTGAAAGCCACCGCCTCCTCTCCACCGCATGGGAGCTGGTTACTCATCTCATCTCTGCACCCGAATGCCACTGCCGCTAAAAATAGCCCCCCAGCCCTGGGCCAGCCCCTCCTGCACCCCAACCCCATGGAAACCAGCAGAAAGACAGAGGGTGGCAGGCAAGAGACCTTGAGTTCCATTCTCACCATTCCCTGTCAGAGGAATCAAAGTCGGAGGCAGAAAGTCAGGGGGGCAGAAGAACCCTGGTGGTCAGGCACCCCGGATCAGCAGGAGAGAAAAGGGTTAACAAGTCAGGAAGGTTGAGGAAATGGGGGCGGGCGGGCGGAGGAGTGAGGGGACCGACGTTGTCAGTTTGGCAGGAATCTGAAGTCCCTCCCCGCCTACCCACCCGGAGCGGTCCCATCAGGTTTGGGGGCCACGCAGTGGAAAGGGGCATCCAATCCTGGGCCCCAGGCGGCAGTCGTGCACGTGGGGGAGGTAGCAGCGCCGAGTCGTCCGCGCCGTGTCACATGCGCGCGCGCACACACAGACAGGCACACACGTGTGCCCGAGTATATATAGTTCCCAGTCTCTAGGCCCGCCGCTCTGCA